CAAGTTTTATCGGAATTACAGAGTATTTCTTCACTGAAAGAAGAGCAAAACACTGCTCTGGAGGCTTTTCTCAGAGGAAAAGATGTTTTTGCTCTTCTCCCGACTGGTTTCAGCAAGTTTGATCTATCGATTGGCTCCTCTTCGTCGTTGCTCTGTTAGTACGTCATATGCTTCATTGATCTGATTGGTTTATTTGGCCCGTCTATCACCAACATAGGCCAATCAGCTAACCGGTATTTTCGCCCCTTCCTAAAATTACTTCAACTGAAGGTTTCCAGATGGATATGCGGAGCAAATCCATCTGGCGGAGTCAGGTTACAATTTTCTTCCCTTTAAAAAGAATTCTTCTTTGTGAAATGATCTCCAGAAAGTGGGTTTTACAAAATGTTTTTAATAAATATATATAGCAAAAAATATTTTTACAGTACAAAAAAAAAGTACATACAAACACAAAAAACAAATAGAAAATCTACTAAAGCAATTCCCCTAAAAAAACAATTCCCTTCACATAAAATAGAAATCAATTCCCTTCGCATGATACAAAAATCCCTTTAAAAACAGCAATAAAAAATAATTCAGTGTATTAAATGATAAATATTAATAAAAAACCAATAAAAAACCAACAGATTAATAAAGACAGATGGTTTTAGACCCTGGAGCACCTTTGTTATACAGTCAGGTGATGATCACTTTTAGCTGCATCCATGAATATGAACTTCCTCGATTAAAGAAAACAAGCTTTAAACTGTACAGCATTTCAGTAAACAAAACTATCATGTTAAAAGATGCATAGTCACATTATTTTTATGATAAAAAAAACAATTATTTCTAAAAGATTAGCGCACCCTGGTGGCATATACTTATGTTTGTGTTTAACACTTTGAATTCAATTTTTTTGCTTAGTTTTTTAATAAATAAAAGGCCTTTGTGTATATTTTCAATAACAAAGGAAGTATGATACTGTTCATGTGTGCAGGATTTAAGCGAGGAAGTATCTAACTGCTGCTGAGCAAAGTAGCTCCTTCCAGTGAGGTGTGGAAATAACAAACTCAAGTGTAAACAAAACATAATACCTGATTCCAAGAGGTAAAAACTGGAACAATACATTCTGATCACTGTGTTAATTAAAGCAGGAGCTAATGCTGTTGAGGCGTTCAGATGTGGCTGCAGAGACGGTGGAAACGAGAGTAAAAACCCTCATCAATACTGGCACTAGTGATAGCGATGCTAATCTTAAGCCGGGCGTACACTGTGCGATATATTTTCAATC